TTATTCTCCGAATATATTAGATATCTGCTTTACTTTATTTTTCTGTTTTTAAGGACGTTTCGATCCTTGCAAATTCTCGTCGGTACACATGGCGCGAATCCACAGCATGGTGGTGGAGACTCTGATGGACGACGAGGAGAATCAGATCCGCGGTTATACACATCTCAACGACGAGTCCGGATTGACCATGAGCCATCTCAGCGCGTGGTCCTTCACAGACATTCGCAATATATTGAGATGCATACAGAACAGCACCCCGATACGTCACAAGGAGACGCACTTCATCAATATTCCGGGCAGCGTGGCGAAGATCGTTGAGTTCGCCATTTCGCTGCTTAATGATAAGCTCAAGTCTCGTGTTATGGTAAACATCACGAATTATGACTCCGTATGTAAATTTACATGACTGACAAATAACGTTTCTAATGTATCTTGGCAGATACACAAGGATATAGAGGAGCTGAGAGAAGCGATAGATCCGAAAATACTGCCGAAGGAATACGGAGGGGAAATTCCGCTCTCGGAAATGATCGGTATGGGGGGATTTCTCTCGTAATTTTTTTCTTTTGAATTTTGAATATGCTTTTATATTGTTTTACTTTTTCCTTCACAATGTCTATCTTCCAGCTGAATTCAAAAAGGATCTGAAAGAGAAGAAAGAACAACTCAAAGCTCTCGACGATATGTACATCGAGATTTCACTAAAAGATTGTCACACGGCTAATAACGAAGAGCTAGGCGGAATATGCGGTTCGTTTCGAAAGTTAGAAGTCGACTGAGGGCTAATTTATTTCTATTTCAATCTCATATTGATAGCATTTAATTTTAATAGCTATTTTCGTGTGATTGCATCTCATGTATCAAGGAGCAATCGTTTTGATAAAAATTGAGATACTTTATTATCCTTTTTTTTTTCAGCACAAAATCATTTATGTATAGAAATATGTCATTATATTGTGACATACAAATTATGAATATGTTAAACGAGTAATGCATACGATTTATAAATACATCTCAAGAATCTTAACTAACTGGTTTTAATGCTATTTACATAGTCGTTTTCTTTCTAGATTCTATTTACATTAAACAAAAAAAAAATTTTAATGTTAAATGTTTAGCGTTAAGTAACATTGGTACAATCGGATCTGTATATGAAATAAGTATAAGGGAATTTATATTTTTATGTGCTAAACCCCTCATAAAACATTGTGTGAATAGTATCCATTAACTTATGCAATAAGTCTTTCTCATGTAACAGTTAAGACTCACTAGCGTATACGAGCGAGTTAATATTCGTTTCGCCGGTGGTACCAAGTTACCTATGACCTTTATAAGTCATTATCTTGACTATATCTTAAAACAAATTGTGACTTGACACAATCCTACCGTTCCTTTGTTGTTGCAATTATGAAACGTGCATTCGCATCGTTTTAATTAGCAGTTACTTTATATACTTATATTTGAGTTAAAGCACAAAGCAATGTTGAATATATATATATATATATATACATATATATATAAATTTAAAATTATGAATTTTAAAATACCAAGGAAAATACCTTTATATGTATATATACAAGACACTTTTATAGCTAAAAGTTCTTTTACACCGAGAGATATTTTGCAATAATAGATTAATACATTTTTAAATAATTATATTATATCTTCATATAATTTTATCTATCTTTATATAATTTTATCTATATTCTTTATTCTCTAAATCGTTTGGCTCGGAAACGCATATATTGCATATATCGATCACGCTATTTCGCTATAGTTAGCGCGCGAAAGCGTGCGTATGGCAAAACGCATATGGTAATATCGCGGCGCATAATATATGGCAGTAGCGGCACTTATTTTTGGAAAATTTTAATACTGCACCCGGTGTCATTATTACCAGCTATGCCTCGTGACGGCGGTGCAGCCAATTCTGTGAAATTTATAAGGTAGCACCGGCATAGTCGCAGCTCCCATATTACGATCTTCCGTTACGATCGCTTGGTATACGACGTAATTGGTTGCTTAAATACCGAAGTACATATATACATAATTGTGTATGTGTGTGTGTGTGTAGTACCTACTGAGACGGCAATGTGCTGACTAGGGCAGGTAGTTTCGGCTCTTTGGCACGGCACCGACAATGGATCGAAACCTCGCTCGAATTGTCTGTCTTTAACGTATATCTCGGTGCCAGTGACTTACAGCATTGATTACAATTCGACGTACGCGATTCTGGATCAAGTTGTAGCGAAGCGTAAGTTTAGGAAAATAGTGGCCAAACTGGCATGAGATAGTATCGATCTTGCTCTTAATTCGCCGAACAAGACGCTTGCGAAAAAAAGTAATTAATTTTTTGTGTTTAATCCAATTTTCTTTCACTTATTGCAGCTAATATAATGCTTATTTAAAATATTATAAACAAATTATAACTCTGAATTATTCATTTTTACAATCTTGTCGTTTCAAGAATTTTAGCCGAACGGGGCTGAATAAATGCGACATTATTAATCGCATATCATTAAAAATCCACAGATGTTTCGAAGCGGTCTTTAAATCTTGTCGAGACAATTTCGTAGATGAAAGATTATACCGTATATTGCGGAAATCGTAATGCTGCCGGAACGTAATAGAGGAGTCCACCGTATTTATGATCGGTGTAAAACATCGGACCCATGCCGACTCGCTCGGAGCGAGAAAATTTCACGGCAACACGTGGCACCACAGCGGAATTTAATAACATCGCGTACGGACTCGGGACCGTTTAGAATGTAATACTAATTTAAAAGAGATTAGTTCCGTATCCGGCGCCAGACAAGAATCACTACCCTCTCAGACAGCCCTTTCGCAGGAGGTGAATTTCAGGGACAACGAGCGAGCGCAGAAGCGCAGTTCCCACGGGGGAAGCGGCTTAATTAATTGAACTTAATTTAAATTTAATTTAATTTCCTCTACCTCTTTGCACGTCGTCGGAAGCACACGCGTCCGCCGCATGTCTTGTGTACCGGTACAATCGCACAATGAAAATGGGCGGTTGTATTTATAAACGGCATGGACAATAATGTTATACATACTTTTTATAATCTGCGCTATAAAGCTGCTATCAAATTATTCTGCTCAAGAAGCATATTATTTTCCCGAAAAATTAATTAGCGCCATTTCTGTGAGCCAATTTATTTTCTTTGCCTAAAAATCTTTATGCAGTTGTAACGAGTTACTAATAATTACTGCGTTATTCGTTGGGACATTTTCTTTTGAGAAACGTTTTCTTAGTTACAATTATTGTCGATTATCGAAAAAATATAAAGATTTTTTCTCTGCAGTTCGTTGCAGTCATAATTTCTTAACCAAAACGTCAGCGTGCGGGACATACCGAAAGCCGGCGAAGATTAATGAACGTGAGGTAGATGAGGCGATAGGAAGACATTACGCGAACTGAGAATGAAAAAAAAAAAATGTTAAAGCAATCGGGTTCGCAGGCAACGGGTCGGCTTATTTCTTCCCGTTGCGATTTTACATCTTGAATGGCGAAGAGCTTGTTGTAGTTTGAAAGGCACGCATAACGCAAGATGATTTACTTCGGGTGTAAATCATGGGCTGTTTGCGAGAGGCACCGCCGAAATTTAACACAACGGCCCATCGAGAATTTCGATTTCAGGCCGCGCACGCGAGCCTTCTCGCGAATATTGAGGAAGTTTCCTTTTCCGTCCGGAAATCCATCCCGAGTAAAACTTGGATTGTTCCTTCTTTTCGCGATGCGGCCGTGTTAGAATGAAACTGAGGGTTAGAGGCAGGGGGGTGAGCAAGGAGAGGGGAGAGAAAAACTGATTGGAATAAAAACTTTGAATATTTACAACTAGGATTGGGGATCTCGAGCAGCCCATTCGAATTTATTAGAGAATATCGATGAAATTCTGTGTCGCGCAGGATTTAAGACTTTTAGTTGAAAGAATGAGAATGGCTGCATGTGGTTAAAAAAATCCCAGGAAAGCAATGTAAATGAAAAAGTTTATGAATCGTAAGGTTCGTGCACAGTGTACGTGAACAACATAAGAAATATGTAAATATTTATATTATTAGTATAAGTAATATCATTTTTAGAGAAGTTGTTAATTTTTCTGTGAGTGAATGCGAATTTTTAATGAGATTAAATGTTGATATTACAGCACTAAAAAAAAGAACGTTCGCAAAATTTTCTCTTCATACAGGTAATTTATATACACACACACATATATATATATATATATATATATATATTGATTCTTGAATATGCATCAACAAAGTACAGTGATCAAATTACTTGATCCGCAAGAAATGTTCGATCACTTTGTCAGAGACTCCTCCCTTTCGATTCAAAGTTTTTATCTTAACTAGAGCCGTAGTTAAACTTCGCTGAGGTAAATTTACCGACTTGTATAAAAAATGGATACTAACTTTTTGTTTAGTGCCTTGCTACCTCTTGACTAAAGGAACTAGATTTAGTAGTTTTGCGTAATTTTATAAAATCTGAAGAAGAGTTTTATAAAAGCTTCTTTTTGCATATAAATTTTTTTACAGTTGAATGGCATAAATAACATATTTATTGTTTGTTTTGTACATATATGTATATCGCGAGCGATATGTTTTACTATTAAACTCTTGCTCTATATCATCAAATTAACATGAAAATCTTAAATAAACATTGCGTCAAATGCACTAGCCAATATTGATTTTAATTAATACATAGAATTATATTATGTGATTAGAAACGGGTAATTTTATAACAGATCAGCTCATAAAACACACACACAACATATTGAATTAATTGCCTTGATATTGATTCATATCGTAGATTTTATGGAACGGATAAAGACAAAAATTTATTTAGGCTGACTGAAGCGTCGGGTAATCAAAATGACATATTTATAGTAATATGATTAATTATACACGAATCATATTAATTTTGTTACTCTTATTTTATTGCATGACGATCATTAATTTATATATATTTATATTTTTTTTTTCTCTCTCTCTCTTTCTCTTTCTATATGTGATACGCGCATGTACATATATTTATACATATTTTATTATATGTATAATCACTATATATATATATATACAGGTTGAGTCATTTTAATCAACGCACGCAAATATCTTTATATATATACATATATAATACGATATTATATACTAGTAAGATTCTCGATCCTATAATTATAAGCTCTGTATTAAAAAACTTATTTTTTATTCTACTTTAAAAGAAAGATGTAATATATAATCTACTTACCATACAAAAAATTAAGAGGATTATATTTATTCTTTTATATGATTTTTTCTTATAAAGAAAAATTTTTATTTAAATTTTTTCCTAATTTTTATCTATAAATTATTTTTATTTTTTAAAATTTAATTTATTTATATTTTTAATAATTGTTATTGCAAAAAAATATTATGCTTTTATTTTGATTCAAAAATTGCATTCTAAATTTTTTTTATATATCCAAGAAACACAATAGATTAATTCCTCGAATGCATTTGCTCAGTCCAAGTAAAATGACGAAATACCGCTAGTCGCCGCTACCAATAAATTAAATCAGTTTTAAATTGCTTACTCACGTAAGCGGGGTTGATCAGCCGCTGCTCGCCTTCCTGGCTTGCCCCTCTTTTCTCCTCTGCTCGTCATCGCTGCTCCTTCGCGGCACTTATGTAATACATACCCGCGCAAAAATGATTTCATTACGATCGCGCACTACAATATGACGCGCGATACTACACGACACTCCCGACATTAATCGTGAATATTAGATTAATTATGAGCGCGCGGCATTTTACACAGCACTCCTAACATTAGGTACTTGAACGCATATTTTTTACATCGCGGCAGAGAAGTAATGCGAAAATTACGAATTTATGACACTAGATGATTTGTTCGGCACTCGTGACGTCTTCTGAATAGCGTGCGAACGGAAATTACGAACGGACGAAATTCGAGAGTTGCCGTTTAACTTTGCGCGCTGCCCGCCATGACGATGCTATACTTGTTGCTCCTAACTCTACTTTTATGCACTTTCCCCTCTTCCTATAACAAGTAATATCATTTTAGGGCAATTTCTATCTTGTATTTTAACATATGTGAAATTAAATATATGAATATTAAAGATTAATAAATCATATGTCATTCTATAGATAAATATCTGTACGCAATAAAATATCCAAAAATACGATCATCGCTTTACCGACTGCTCACGCGATAGATTACTATCGAATAGATCTCACGAAATACGAGTTTCGACAAATCATCGAGACCAACGCTGAATCTATTATGCAGTTGACAAATATTGAGATAGCTGGATTAATTGTATTACTTACTAATTACACACCTCGCTACGACGCTTTCGGAGTCGATTCGTTCCGTGCCCGCGACATTCCGTTAATGACCAAAAAATTCAGAAGCAGCAACTTCTCACCGATAATACGCGAGTCAAATTAAGACGCGA